ATTCCTTCGGGGGTGTGAGCAGGGCCCTGCTGGGGGGGGTACACCGGTGGGTGCCGCAGGCTGAAGTGGGGAGCTGGCCAGGAAGCGTGGGGGCTGAGGGCAGCTTTCTGCCCCTGCACCTCCTTTTCCAGAGCTGCCCTGAGTCATTCTGTAATGGAATTTGTGCCCACTGAATTCCTACTAGCACAGAATCCTTGCGTGGCCTTTATAAATATTTCACTCTCTTCCGGCAGCAAGTGTCCCGATGCCCAGAGGCCTGTGCGGCCCTCTCCTCTCCCGGACCAGCAGGCTGCGCCCCGCCCCCGGTGGCCGTGGGCGGGAGGAGATAGTCATGCCCACCCACACCTGGCACCTGGCCTTGATGGCTGCTTCTGCTCGGGGAGCAGCCGAGCCTCCCTGGGAGACCGGGACTGCGGTGCATTTGGCAGAAATTGGGGAGCCCTGGAGGCGGGGAGGTGACCGCCCACGGTCCCTCAGGGCCGAGCCAGGGCTCACAGCCATCTGGCCCGTTGTCAGGGACGGCCTTGTCCACGGGTGCGCAGCATGCCGAGTGGGGGTGCAGAGCTGGGTGGGTGGCTGCTGGAGCGGGGGTCAGGTGGGTTTCGGGGTGGGGGGGCACCCACAGCCAGGGGAGCTTCACAGACTGTGACGTGCTGTGTGAGCCCGGAGAACTCACTCACAGCTGGTGACGGGCCTGGGTTCCCAGAGGGCAGGGAGGGGCCCCAGACTGCTCTTGAGCAGCGGGGTGTCAGGGTCAGGCTGGCCCCACGACCCTGCTCACTCTCCACAGTGGGGAGGGTCCGTTGGGCCCTTGTGGCCTCTTTGCTGAGGTGCTGAGCCAGGCCTGGGACGCATCTCAAAGTGTGGCTTTGTCACGCTTCTGCAAAACTGCGCAGGAGCCAGCAAGGAGCCACCGCTGGCTCTTTGGGGAGCCCCAGACCCAGTAGGAAAGATTGGTTGTGACGCCCTCCTTCTCTGCCTCTCTCCCCTCTGGGGAGGTGGGGCCTACGCATCTCGTCTTGTTTGCCAGCTGCAGCCGAGAGACACGGGCTCCTTCTCTGCACAGCTTCTCCCACAACAGACCAAAGGGACTGGCCAGGTGTATTAAAGGGGCCGTGCACAGCAGGCTGGACACTGCAGGGCCTGGGGGAAGCTGCCCCGGCCACGCCGGGGCTGGGCGGTGGGCTGGGGCTTCCAGGCAGGCGCTGGGAGACGGACCTCATTCGCACATGATGCGTGCCTCTAAGTGCTTCCTCTCTGCCCGGCTCTGGGGTCTGCAGAGGTGAGTCCGGAGGGGGCTCTGCCCTCCTTGGAGCTTCAGACCCGGCCGGGGGCAGTGGACGGAAGCTGTGCGTGTGTGTTGTGCCTGCACATCACGTGCACACGTCCAGGTGTTCCACCCGGCACACTCGCCGTGTTCACGAAGTTCCGGTGGATGCGTGGGTGTTCCTGTGAGGGACCCATAGATGCCACGCCTGCACAGATGCTTTATAAACGTTGGGTGTGTGTGGACCCCTCTGCACACAGGGCCCACGGTGTTACATCAGTATCGCAGCAGACACCGTGAGCAGAGGACCCATGCGGTTTATCATTCAGGGTCTTTGCAGTGTGCAGCCCCTCAGTGTGAGCGGTTCCTTAGCGAGCTGTTTACACATCTTCCGGAATGTGTGGGAAGGGTGGACGGAAGAGGGACAGGAGGGCGCGGCACCCTGGGGCCAGCAAAACTCGGAGCCGGCAGGTTGTCCGGGAACAAGTTCCTGGAACTTGGGATGGTAGCCCGCGCCGTGAGCCCACTGGCCGATACAGCTCGTTACCAGTGCCCTCCGCTTCCTCCCTTCCTCAGACCTGCTCCTGGGGCTGGCTGTCCACTGGTGAACTTGACGAGAAACCAGAGGACCAAGGACCACTTGGTGTGGCTCGTATAGGCTGGCCTCCTGGGCAGAGAGCAGGGGAAGAAGGTGCGTCCGGGTGGGAAACTGAAGACATCCTGCCCAGCCTGCTTTCCCTGGCAGGCACTGCAGCTCACCTCTCGCTGCGGCGGGAATAGTCCTGCGCCCCAGACCACTGGGAGGTCTGCTTTGGAGGGAAGGCCCTCAACTTGGGTGCCGTCCCCTCTCACACTGTCTCCTGAACACGTCTTGCTGAGGGATGTCCTCACTGTCACGGGCCAGGGAGAGACACCGTGAGGCATCACCATGGCCAAGATCTGTCTTTCTGTAGTGAGACAGAAAACAGGGGCATTGACGCATCCCTGGGACAGGCTGTCCAGACGTACTGCTGTCCCGGTCGTGGCAAGGAGGCTGCTTCTGATCGTCTTCACTGACCACCGTGGGGGGTGGGGTAGGCCTGGGCACCTGGGGTGCAGTGTTTGACCCAGAAAATGCTATTTTGGCTCCCTCCAGTAAATATATCACATTTGAAACTGTTAGCTAATATTAAACCACCTTGTTAAGTTTCTAGCAGCTTGCTGTTCTCCAGCACCCACCTGGCTTTTGCACCAGCTACACAGGTGAGCTATATGGAGATGTTGTGGGATTTCCACCCCTGCAATGTGTATAAATATAAACCCACTTGTTTACCAAGATGCGTTTCCTTCTTTCCTGAAGACCTAAGTCTCCATCTGGTATCGTTTCCCTCTGGGTGGAAGAACTTCCTTTGGCAGTGATGCTGTGCAGATCAGCTGGTAGCAAATTTTCTTTAATCTGAAAACGCATTTTGCCTTCCTTCTGAAAGGATGTTTTCTCTGGATAGACCAGTCAGTGTTGATGGCCTTTTTAAAAAGCTCTTTGAAGATGTCGTTCCATGGTTTCCTGACCTACATTGTTCATGATGGGAAGTAAGCAGTGATCGGAGCTGTCCCCCTGGATGTGATGTGTTGTTTCTCTCTGGCTGCTTTCAAGATGTTCTCTCTCTGGTTTGCAGCAGTTTGATTCTGATGAGTGGTTTTTTCTTTGTGTTTTTTCCTGGGATTCACTTGGCTTCTCAAATCTGTACATTTGTTTGCTTGACCAAATTTGGTTAGTTTTGGCTATTTCTTCACTTTTTGTTTTATTCTCTATTTCCCTTCTGTGATGCCTCTCGATACTGTTCTGCAGCTCTCTGAAGCTTTATTTATTTTTGGTCTTTATTTCTGTCTATTCTTTAGGTTCGGTAATTTCTATTAATATATCATTGCTTTCCCCTTCAGCTTTTCTACGTCCCCATTCTATTCTGCCTGGCCTGACACCCCCTGTGTCATGTCATTTCTCCTGGGGTTTCTGAGGGTCAGAGCTCAGTGCTGGCTCAGGGGCACTGAGGGCCAGAGAGGATGAAGAGAAAGCCGCCTGGAGACAAACACGGGATGTCACCTTTGTAGGGAGAGTGGGGCCCCTGGGGCAGGTGGGAGGTGGCACATGTTCATGCCGAGGGGGAGACAAGCAGACTGAACGTAAGGGCTGAAGCCCTGGAAGAGAGGGGCCGGCTTTCTGTGGGAGACTGTGGGAGGGACGGACGTCTTGGGGTCTGGTAGGTCCCTACTGTGTGCCAGCCCTGGGCTAGGTACTCTTTTTCATGTGCATCTGTAGCATTCTCCCTATATCTCAAAGTAAAAGCATCGAGAAAGAAAACAGCCCAACCTCCTGGAAATGAACGTCACCCCATCCTATAATATACCCCATCTAACAGACGACAAACCCTGGGTTGGAAGAGGTCCTCAGGGGACCAAGATAACGCAGCTGGTTCAGCGACCGTGAACCCGTGAGAGTGTGGCAAGCCTTTCTTGATGGGGCAGGATTTGAGATGTTGGAAGGCCGTGCTCATCCTCTGAATCCTCCTTCCAAAAATGCCCATGACCCAGGTGGTGTTAGTCCCCGAACTTGAACTAGAACCTACTGAATCTTAGGTTCCTTCTGCCCTGTTGTGCAGACCTTATTCTGGCCCTGACATTATCACTGACTCCCTGGGTGACCCTGGCAGGTAACTTGACCTTTCCATCACCGCTATCCTCATTTCAAGTGTGGGAACACACAGGACCAATTTTGCACGGTCGATGTGGGAGCTCAATGCGGGATGTGCTGGGAAGGTGTGTGCACACGGCATTTGCACACCTGAGGTCTTTCAGGGTCGTTTGTTGTCTCTTTTCTGACACGTCTGCACTCCGCAGTGGCACAGATCCACTCATTCCTGCACGAGAGGCAGGTTTCACGTGGGACGCCTTCCTCCGGCCGTGGGGACCCAGCAGTGGACGGAGCAGACGACAGTCCCTGTGCTCATGGTATTGGGGGTTCACTCTGCACTCGCCTCCCTTGATTCACATCCTCTACATCAAGGCCTTGTATCTGGTGGCCGAAAACTGTGGTTCAAACCTCAGCTCTCCAGAAACCAAGCTATCCTGCTATGAAGCCGCTCAGTTTTCTCCTCCGTGGGGCTGGCCTCATCACACCTGTCCTGTAGGGTCCTGAAGGGGCTGGAAAGAGGCGATGGGTGACTAGGAGTCAGCACGGCCTGGGGTGCGGCCCTGAGCACGTGCTGGTCCTCACTGTTGATGGGGGTCCCCTGGGGGCGTGGTTAATTTTCTTTTTCGGGCCTGGTACCTTTGTAGTGCTCTTAGGAGCAAATATGCTGTTTTTCTAGTTTTTCTTTTTAAAACCTTGTGTTGCTCTAAGAACTGTGAAACAGCTCTAAAACTGCTCCTCTCCCAACAGAAATGCTCCAAATCACCCCCTCCCCCATAACCATGAACTTCAAAGGATATGTCTTCACGGATCCGTCCCTGCTGTCCCCTCCCACGCCCCTCAGGATGTGGGCACATCCCACTCTCCTTCCCAACGGACACGCCCCAGCCTTCAGGGGGCGGGTTCGTGCCGCTCCCCTCCTTCCGGGTCATGGGCAGGTTCCACCCCCTTCCCACGGAAACTCCCCAAACCCCATCCGGTACCGCAGTGCCCCCGAGCCCCTCCCCACCCAGAGCTCGCTCTCGCGACCCTCTCACCGGCTCTCCCCGTGTTCTCGCCCCTCTGCAGGTTACGGGCACGCAGCCCCGGGCACGGACGCGGGCAAGGCTTTCTGCATGTTCTACGCGGTGCTGGGCATCCCGCTGACGCTCGTCATGTTCCAGAGCCTGGGCGAGCGCATGAACACCTTCGTGCGCTACCTGCTGAAGCGCATCAAGAAGTGCTGCGGCATGCGCGACACGGACGTGTCCATGGAGAACATGGTGACCGTGGGCTTCTTCTCCTGCATGGGGACGCTGTGCATCGGGGCGGCCGCCTTCTCGCAGTGCGAGGAGTGGAGCTTCTTCCACGCCTACTACTACTGCTTCATCACGTTGACCACCATCGGGTTCGGGGACTACGTGGCCCTGCAGACCAAGGGCGCCCTGCAAAAGAAGCCGCTGTACGTGGCCTTTAGCTTTATGTACATCCTGGTGGGGCTGACGGTCATCGGGGCCTTCCTCAACCTGGTGGTCCTCAGGTTCTTGACCATGAACAGCGAGGACGAGCGGCGGGACGCGGAGGAGAGGGCGTCCCTGGCGGGCGCGCGGAACAGCATGGCCATCCACGTGCCCGAGGAGGCGCTGCGGGGCCGCGCACGCTGCAAGGCGGACGGGGACCTGCAGTCCGTGTGCTCCTGCTCCTGCTACCGGCCGCGGGGGCGCGCCGGCCGCCCCGCGGGCCACCAGAACTCCTTCGGCGCCCAGCTCGGCCCGCAGTACTTCCACTCCGTCTCGTACAAGATCGAGGAGATCTCGCCGAGCACACTGAAAAACAGCCTCTTCCCGTCCCCCGTCAGCTCCGTCTCCCCGGGGCTGCACAGCCTCACCGACGTCCACAGGCTCACGCGGCGCCGCAAGTCCATCTAGGGGGCGCGGGAGGGGGAGGGGCCGCGGCCGCCCCGGGCCGCCCGTCGCGCTGGCCGGGCTCGGCGTTGCCTCCTTGGTTATTTATTGTCCTTTATTATTGTTGTTAGTATTGTCATTCACCGTCACTCTCTCTCCTTCTCGGTTTCATTACGCCCCCGCCCCCCCTTCCCAGCAGACGGAGCCGGGAACGCCCTGCTCCGAAATTCACACGTGCGCATGAAGCATGGCCCCCTCCCTCCCCCACCTATGCCTTACATGCCCCCCGCAGCCGGCCCGTCGCGGGCGGCTTTCCCGCGGCAGGTGTGAGGCCGAGCCCACCAGACCGAGCTGAGAGGACGCAGACCCAAAGTTGCACGCCAGGCTGAGAGCCGTCAAGCGCCCACCCACGGTGATCTCTCTGACCGGACTCCCCTCATTTCCCCCCAAAGGAGTGGGCGGCTGTGCGTGTGTGGATGCGTGTGAGCATGCGTGCTTCTGCGTGCGTGTGTGCGTGTGTGTGCGCGTGTGTGCGTGCGCGCGCGCGCGTGCTGTGCGACCCAGTGGAAAGTATCGGGTATTCCTTTCTTTTCTCCGTCATACAATTCTGTTAATAGCCTGCTTTTGGCTGCTTCCAAACAAAAAGGGAGAAACAAAACCCGCGAGGTTTTTGATTTACCATCTTGCCAAATCAAAGCATGTTCCACGAGCCGCCTTGACCCCAGACGCGTCATGCCCATATTTTTAAAATGCTAGGTTCTAAATTATATTAACTTCTTTTTAGGGGGTTGGGGGGGGTCAAGACCACATGGATCCTTTTAACTTGCCCGTTCAAAACCGTTTTCTACAAGCATGCACTTCGTTAAACTGGTATGCGTTGTCCGCGCGAGGGAAGCTAGGGTGGAGTCAGCAGGGGCGCGTCGTGACGCGCGGGTGCTGAAGACGGGTTTGACGTCATCGCCTGCGGTTCCTGCAGTGTCCCCTGCGCCCGGGAGTGTCGGGGTGCACCGGAGAGTTGTGGGAGTGGCGGAATACGTTGTCACTATCGCCCTCTTACTCACGGGATGACGGAGGTGGTGGCGGTTGGCGGAGCACCTCCCCCGCGTGGGTGAGGACCGCCGTGAGGGACGGGTGGATGCTGACGGGGGTGGGTGGGGTGATCGAGGTGGGTTCTTCCCCTGAAAAGCGAAGAGACGGGGCACTCCTCATTCAGAAACCTGTACCTGTATGTGTTTCAGGAAAGAGCGTCTGTCACTGGGTTTGGTTTGTAAACGAGGGGAAATGCACGTGGGTCTTAGGAAGAGTTTGCAGATGAGGAGGCGTGCCTTGGCCTGCTGGGAACTTGCCGATCTCAGGGGACGAGTGTTTGAGGAGTGGGGACATGCCCTCCCATCCCCCACTCCCCTAGGGGATGACCCGAAAGGGAAGGCCTGCTTATCTCCTGGGGGAAGTTTGGCTGCAGCCGGTCCACTGGAGGCCCGTGCGATGACAGGCATAAAGGGAAGTCTCATCTCCGAATTCACAGAGGGGACCGTCACTTCCCCGGTCACCACCATGCCTGCCGTGTCCGACAGTCCGCTTCCTCCCGCTCCTTCGACGAAAGGGGCGTTTGTGGCTCCAGGATGGACATGCGCTTCGGCCGCTTTGCTCGGAAGGTGCAGCGGGGGCCCTGGTGGGCTCTGCAAAAATGGGGGGGGGGCTTGTGCCCAGGAAGAGGAAACCCACACAGTTTCTTAAAGGAGACGTCACCGAGTGCCACCGTCCCACATATTTGGGCCGTTGGACGAAACACAGCCCTCAAGGCCCCTCGGAAAAGTGTGTACTTCATGTCCCATCCACGTTGCAAACCGCCCCTTTGTACAGGACACGGGGCCTCGGGGTCTGGGGACCTCAGATGCTCTGTGTCAAGGTGGACAGGTGTCAGTCTTCACGGTCTGTGTCCAAGGCTTTGTGGGGGGCTGCCGGGGAGGGGTGCAGGGTCTCCCCCGGAGAAAGTCCCCCCGGCTTCGCCCTCCCGTGCGGTGTGTGCGCCGCGATCTGCAGTCTGTCGGGGACCGAGGCACAGGGAGGGCGAGTGATGGGCTCGATGCCGCCGGGCGGGCCCTCCCTAGAGGTGAGGGGATGGTCTCAGCTTAGACCCCCAAAGGGTCCAAGAAGCGGACTCCACCCCACTCCAGCGTCCTAGCTGGGCCCCCAGCGAAGGGAACCTGCTTCTCTCTCCACAGGTAGGTGCACCTGGCCCTCGCAGTGGGTTCGAGGAACACCTGCCCAGCCCGCCCGTTCAGGCTGGTTCCCACTGAGAGAGCTAGCTGCACGGAATGCTCCGGAAGGGGCCAGCTTTTGCTGGAACATCCCCCCCAGCCCCCCGGTGACAGGGAGCTTCTCCCTGCCCGGGGACCTTTAGAGAAGGCTCCGTCTCCCAGACGTGCACAGAGGTGGCTCTTTGTAGGACCGGGGGTCACAGGAGGATGTCTGTTTTCTGGGTGTGTCTCCACCACCCAGCCTCGGTGTCTGAGGCAGCTTGGAACTGGTCTCGGTTCTGCATTCCTCCTGCTCTTCCGCCCCCAGTGACCTGTTCGGCCCCTGAAGGACTCTCCCCCCCCGGTCTTCTCTTTGGGAGTCAACACCCCTGTTTATGCCTGGAGTGTTCAGGGGTGCAGGTGGACCTTGGTTTGCTTCCCTTGTGACGTCCTCTCTTTCTCAGGTGGCCCGTCTGCCCCCGACCACGGTCTCTGGCCGGGGAGTTCTCTGGGCACATCATTGAGGTGCTGCCCCGGGGACACGGAGTCGAGGGTCCCCAGGGGTCCTCTCTCACGGTAACATGGGACGGGCATCTCCACCCGGAGCGTGGCCGCTGAGACCGGCCGGCTCGGTGGGCAGCGGAGTCCTCCCTGAGTCTCAGATCAGAGGACCGGGACCAGCTCGTCCCTTACGGTCCCTGTTGCCATGGTGGCCGCTTCGTCACTCTGGACCACACCCCTGTCATCCCTCTGCGTGTCTCGGGCCCAGGGGTCTCCCCCTCGCTCTCCTGCCTGGCCATTTCTGTCTTTCTGCCCGGTCACCCGTGCCCATGCAGGGCAGCCGCGTGGCCACGGAGCTCCGCCTCCGCTAGGACGAGCCCAGCCCAGGGTCCCCAAAGCCCCGGGCACAAGCCCGTTTTTATGTGCATCTTCCTCTCTTCCTCAACCGCACCTTGGGAGAGGCTAAAAAAAAAAATCTATGACCACACTTTCTTCCGCCCCACCCCCAGCTTTCTGTTCTGCAAATTCCAGATCTACGGAGAAGCTGAGAGCGTCCTACGAGGAACTTCCACCGAGACTTGCGGCTGCCGGCTCTTTGCCCCACTGGCTTAACCCTCTCCCCCCGCCCCGCCCCCCGCCCCCACTCAGAGGTGTTTGCAGGGTGAGGTGGTGTCTGCAACCTTCAGGTGGCCCCTCCAAAGACAAATTAACCTCCCAGGAACAAGAGCATTCTGGGTGGCAGGGCCACCGTCGCCCCTGAAAATGTTGCATCCGCGTGGTGAACGTTTATTGTCTAAATACAGCCCAGCTGCTCATGCCCCAGCTGCCCCCAAACTGTCCTCCAGACGTTTTTTGGTGAATATGAGGCGGTCTGAGACCACCTGCCACCTCGCGTGTCTGGGCGCCCCAGGCCCCGCCCCCCTTGTCTGGGGCACCCCCTCCACACTCCTGCATTCACGACGTTGCAGAAGTCAACGTCGTGTTGAAGAGCCCAGAGGCCGCTGTCCCGTGGGATGGACCCACGGCCTGCTTCTGTCCGCTGGTTGCCTCAGGTTAAGGAGTTTTAGGCAAGAAAACACCGGCCGTGATTAATGCCTTCGATACGGCTGTCTCCCTGGAGACCTCTGCGGTGACTTCTCTCATGTCCCCGTGGATAAAAATGTCACAGTCAGCGCTCTCCTCCGCTGGAGTAGCTTCTGGACAGGTGTGCATCCGTCTCTGCCGCTGGGTCCCACTGGCGAGGCTGAGCAAGGCTGTGCCGTTTGAGTTCTCGCGTGGGTCTCCCTCCTGGGCTGAGTGTCTCTCCCGCGGTCTGCCTCCTGAGCACCCGAGGGGCAGTCCGGCTGCAAACGGTCACGAGCGCAGAGCTCCGAGTTCAAGGTCGCACGCTGGCTGGCAGGTGCAGCCCAGTAGGAGGGCTTCTGTAAGGATCCCCGTGAGCAAGTCGGGCTGCGTGGGCACCCAGGAGCTCCTCCGTGAGTGGGGGGGTTGCCGAGCCCTTCCCGTCCTGAGCACTCATCAGAATGGGGTGCGTTGCCATGGAAGTACTCTTGGATCCTACGGGCTGTATGTCGTGACCCACGCCTTGGAGGTCATTTGCACTGGCAAGTGCTACGCAAGTTTCTCTGTGCTGACAACATAAAGCGGTCCACCTGCTGTGGCTCAGTAACCTTCCATTTCGATCGAGAACAGATGTCCATACAGTTTCCACCTCTGAGCCTGCGCCCTGCTGTTCCTGCTACCTGGAAGGTCTCCCTGTGGCTTTGCAGCGTGGAGGCGGGGACAGGAGCGCCCCACACACCCTTCCCAAGGCTCTCCGATCCTCGGACCCCGATGGATTCAGCGATGCCCTCTCTGCTCCGTAGTCCTTCTTTCTCGCATGGATAAATGTACCGGGAGCAGACCAGTGGCCCCGTCCGGGGAGCTGCAGGCTGGGCAGCGCCTGGAGGGGGGCACCCACAATCTAGGGGGGCGCCTAGCTTCTCTCCAGTGGGGTGCTCATCACCATTGCCAAGGCACGTCTTCACATCAGTGCGAGCCCTTCCCACCCTGGGGAATCAGTGCACACCCACATGACAAAAACCCATCGCCCTCCTCCCCCACTCATTGGCTAGTCAGTCAGTGGTGCATGCTGGGCAGAGCTGCGTGTGCTGTGGGCAGTAGGGCCATGAGCTGTCCACAGCGGGGCGCGTCCTGCAAAGCAGGTGACTCCAGGAGTATGCTGGTGACATTTCACCGGGGATGGGAATGCCATCAGGAACCCAGCCAGCACTGGTTTCTGGT